TATGTTTTTCAGACTTTGAATTGGAGAATTTAAGTTCTATATCTGATTGAAGGTGCTGCCAGCAGATTTGATCATCTTTCTTGAGATGAAAAGTCTGACATGTCTGGTTAGCCAAAAAAAAAACCCCCAAAACCTTTTGAATATCAATTTGCAAATACAAAGGTAAAAGTAATAGTTAATGAAAAGACAATGTCAAGTGAATATTACAGGTCCTGTTTCCCCCCTCCTCAGAAAGGAGGTCGCTGGGATCATATGAGGAGTGTTTTGTTTAGTGTAAACAAGGGAATAATGCTTTGAAGTTGCTTTTGTCAACACCAGTCCTGAGAAAAACACAACTGAAGCAGCATCACCAGAATAAACAGGCTTAATTTGTATCTTTCCAAACTGCTTGGCATGTTATTTAGTTAACTCCTACGAAATTATTCTTTCATAAAGCTGTGTTCTTCTGCAGAAGTGTGTTGATGCTCCTCTTCTGACTCGTAGCCTTTAATGTCTTTTGTTTTTTGACTTGATGAGCACAAATGCTATTTTGTCTGTAATTCTTTCTGAAAGGTAAACCTAGACAAAGTCAGTAGAATCAAGTGTATTTTCAGTGCTGTATGTTCACCCCCATCCCCTCCCCCTCCAATCTGTGCCATGGTGACTTTTAAAATATTTTTAAAATATTTTGTTAGTACTAGTTGAAATGAACAATAGATGCTACTTTACAAAGCTTTTCTTCTTACGTCTAAGAATAGACTGGAATGTGCATGTCTCGCTGTTGTGAGGTGCGAGTTGTATCAGCCTACAACAAGAGTTCTCTGCAGGTTAGAAAACAAGTGAGCAGGGTGTTGTTTGTGTGTTATACGTAAGACTCATGAATTTGGGATGTTCTTAGGATACTCATTAGAAAACTATAGTGTTTTCTGTTAAATTTGTGTGGAAACTTGAACACACTTATATCTATATCAGTAGCATCTGTGGAGAGCTTGTTACTTTAAATAGCTTTTAAGCTACCCTGTTCTTATTAAAGATATATCAAAGAGCCAGTGTACTGCTGGATGATGTGAGGGCTTTAATGATTCACAGTATGGGCAGACCTTAGATTCTGGATGAAAGCTAAATTAATGCAAGTTCTGGTTTTTTGTGGGGTTTTTTGTTTGGTTGGTTGGGGGTTTTTGGGTTTGTTTTTTGTTTGGTTGGTTGTTTTTTTTCCTGGAAGCACAATTTGAGAAAAATGTTGTCTGGTGTAAGTGTGCTACAGAAGTTACCTGCAGCTGATACTAGCAGAGGATGTGCTGAGTAGTCAATGTGAGACTTTCTGTTGAAGAGTACAGACAAGACTAATGCAAGCCAATGGTAGAGCTTTTATAAAATTACTATGTCCATTATGTAATCTAAAAGTATTCTTCAGAATTTATATCCATTAGTGTTACTCAGGCTATAGCTCTTACTCTGATTTATTGCACATGGTTACAGTATGGGTGAGTGTATAAGTAATAATATTTCCACTAATAAATGTTTTTGGTAGTCAAATAAACATCTCGCAGCTGAGCAATAACTGCAAAGCTCTCTGTGTAGCATACCATGAACATATTCAGTAATGTGCTGCTTCTTTATAAGTTTTTAGCTGTTATTTTAAAGCAAAGTGCAAAATTCAAAAGAATTTACGGAGATCTGGTGCAAGACTTGATACTTGTGGTGGAGGTGAGAGGGAGAGGGGTTTTTTGAACCAGTAGATTAAGGATCTGTTTCCTGTTTTGAGGTGTAGTAATTGTAACATGGTGATCCATCATGCTATCAGAGAGAGGAATGCCTCTAAGGTTATTGACTGGCTGTAGATGAGGAAGAGATGACAAGTTGGGTTGGTAACCTTAACTGCCTTCTCTAGAGGTAGAATAACCACAAAAATCAGTTTCTTTTCTGGTTACATTCTTACTATTCCTGTTAGGGGTTTCTGAAGGGTGATTGTGTAACTGGCAGGAGAAAGCAGGAAGTTGCACAACTGAGGACAGCCCCAGCTGAAACACATTTTCCGATAAATGTGCATTTGTCTATCAATACTGTTTAGGGATGTTCAAATGGCAGCAGTCACCCGCAAACCTGACGACAAGCCTCCCGTTACACTCCCTATGCTTGCTTGTGTGTAAATGACCGAGTGCTTGCCTGTTAGCCCAGAAGCAGACGTGGGGAAACTGAGGCTGTGGGATGCCAGTAAGTGAAAGGATTTAATAGTGTGGTTCTTGTCTTTGTTGCTTATTTTCTTTAAGCTTTTTATAGTTCTTGATGGCCGCTAGTGGGAGGAGGGCAAAATCTAGTGCTTGAAACCAGGCCTGTGCAACCTGGGCTTTGCAGAGCCATGTCCCTGCCCTGCCTACCACCAGGAGTCACCACGGGCTGTGTGGGGTCACTTATTTGGCCAGAAATTCAGTTGTTCAGCACCTTGGAAGAGCTGCACACCAGTCACAGTTGCTTGTAATGTACTGTTAGGTTTCTATAAGGTAGCAGAAGTTCAGAGTCTGTGCCAGTTTAGATAGTCAGATTTGCCACAGAAGCTATGGGACTCCTTGTTTTAAGCATCTTAAAATGGGTAGAATGCTGCTTTATGCCCATTCACTGCTGGAACACTGCATTGTGTGGAGCTTTTTTCACCCACAAAAATTCCCTAGCATTTAGGCAAAGATACAAATCTGCCTTGAAGTGGAATGATGGGAAGGCATAGCTGACTGATCTATTTCCTAAGACAACAAGCCCAGCTTAAATTTTTTTCTGCCTTAGCCTGTGTGGGCAGTCAGATGCAACAGCCAATTTGCAGTAGGAAAGACCAGCACTTACATAAGATGGATAAGTGGACATCTGGAAGCACTTGAGCACTATTTTGTACTTCTAATACAAATCAATGGAACACAGGAGAACTGAGGGATATGTCAGTTGTTAAAAGCAAGGGAGGTGGTTGATAGAGCTTTGGATGATGAATGCACTGATTTTCAGAATTGTGCCTCTTTTAATTTTGACCCGAAATAAGGACACTTGCAATTGCCAGAAGCTAATGTTAGGGCAATACTATATAGTACTTATTTTCTGATACTATTCACTTTACATTTATTTTTCAGGTAGCAGTTTAGGAGAGGAGGGACAGGTAGTGTTTTCAGAATATAGAAGGATCCTATCCTGCTGCCCTAAATCCTGAGACTGGAGGGCAGGAGAGAGCATGGAGTTGAAGGGTGAAACTATGGAAATGCTCTGCTAACATTTGTTTTCAAACAGTTTGTGCAGTTGAGTTGTGCTATATTGTCACACCTCAGAAGCAGAGGCCTGTGATTTCTGAGCTGATCTCCATCAGTTGTTCTTTTCCAAAGGCAGTTCAAGCCCAAGTATGCCTCTGTCCATTGTAGTCACTGCTCAACTACCTTTTTCCCTCCTTCCTTGAGTGTTATCTAACTATTTACCACTAAACCTTTATATGTTTCAGTGATGGAAGATCTTCCCTAGTGTATATCTGAAGGCTGAAAGTACAGAAGAAGCTTTTCCAAAGGCATAGCTTGCGGTTTATATGTTAATGTAACTAAGCAATAGGAAAACACATGTTTACTTAAGAGCATTTCTGAATAGACTCATCCCTTGCTGTTGTCGTGAAGGACCTCAGGCAGAGCCTTTCTGCTTAGGGTGCTGCACTGATCTTTGTTCTTGTTGCTGCTGCTTCTGTTATAAAATAGTGAGATTTCAGTGTTATGATGAACTCTTCTTGGTGGGGAGGTGAGGGGCATACAAAGCACTTTATGAGCTATCTTAGTAAAGTACTTCTCTTGATGTAACAGTAAAATAGCCCTAAGCACCCTATGAAAGATAGCTGAATTTTTATGTAATTCTCTTCTTAAGATAGTGCTTTAGGATTCTTGGCTGAATGTCCCCAGATCCATGTGAACCCATAGATCGTAGCCTGTGAATTCTGCACGCATTGAGGCTTGACTCTGCTGTATTTAACGAGCTTCAGTTTTTGGTGTGGCTTGCCTCTAAGCACAAAGCTGTATACATGAGGGTTTTGGAATAGTGGTGCAGTAACTCTTTCTGTTCTTGGAAGTGTTCTCCTTGGTCTTAAATGTATGTGAGAATCTCAGCATTAATTTGCACAAGGGGGAAACTGTCGGAGCTGAACGGTTTGACAGTTACTGTTGTTAAACTCAAAACAGGTAAACATTACCTGTAACTTTTTCCTAAATAAGTTTAGTATTTGATTATTAATATCTATCTTACATATTTGGTCATACAACCAAGAAAAATGTCTGAAGCCTTGCTTTGGTGTAGGAAAACCTTTTTTTCCAAATAATATTAAAACTGTCTGAAATCATGCTTTTCCTCTTTCTTTAGGGGAAAGTATACTACCAAGTGTGCTTCCTTTAAGAATTTTTCAGCTGTGTCTTTTTCAGTTCTGTTTTTCACGCTACCCCTTTCATGAGAAAGAAGTCTAAACTCTTGATAGATGCCAGGTGGATTTTTGTGTGATTCTTCTTTAGATACGTTTTTCTAGAGAACGGCAAACGGATCTGTTTTGTAGACTAATCTTTCATGTGCTTCCTAAAGGATGGTTCTGATTTTTTATTTTTTATTTTTGTCTTCAGTTGCTTAAGTCTTAAATATCCTAGCTGTTTCCCAAGGTTCAGAACCCCTCACTAAATTCAAAACTTTTAGGGCTACTTCTGAAAAGGCTTTCTGTGGCTAAGCAAAGCTGGGAATTAGATGCAGTGGGAGGAGAATAATAATAATAACTCATTCCTTGGTGTGTGTGGGGAATGTTTTTGTTTTGCTGTTAGCATGCTTTGCCACACAATCTTTAATGCTGTTATATTTCATGCTTTTGAGAAGATGCCTTCAAGGGCTTTCACATGACAGCAGAGAAGTGAAATTTTTAACTGCTTTCAGTTGATGTTCTCATAGCAGCAGTATCTGCTTATTGCAAATCACTGTTTGTATCTGGTGTGTAACAGTAGTTTATTACTAACTGGTGTCCTGTTTCTTTTCAGAGATCGTTCACATTAATAATAGAAGCGTGGGATTGGGATAATGATACAAAATCTGGTGAGTATTTATGCAAAAGTTGCAGTTTTCACTTAATGTGCACTGTATGTACACAGGCTGGGGAGGGGGAATGGTGTGATGCTGCAATTAGACATCCTTCCAAATCAGTCTGAATGGAAGAGTGCGGTCTAAAGGGCATATGCCAATCCAAGCAGTGAATGTTGGGTTAGGAACAGAAAAAGTATTACTTATAGGAAAAAGAATGGACAACAGAAAGTGAAGGTTGTAATACATGACTCTTAATACTTAGCTTTAAAAATATGTTTAAAAATCATGGTATTTAAAAAAAAAAAAAAAAAAGAAAAGAAAATTTGTCTATGCTGTAGACCTACACTTTAAATTCTTCTCTGTTTACCCATAACCATGTTGTGCAATATTTTTCATGATCAGGTAAACAAATAAGCATTCTTACTCCCCATAAAGAAGCCATGCTTGAAGTTTTTGATGAAAGTGGTGTAAATCATGGTATGATTCCTTCTCCGTTTGTTTCTCCTCAAGTACTGAAAGTTACCTTGCATTTCTGGTCTGTAATGCTCAGTATGAAAGCAGAGCTACTGATCTGAAGGCAAAGCAAGATTATTGCATAGAAATATTTCACTCATATGAAGGTGCTGCTTCCCATATTGTTGTTACTAAAGTAGACTCCAGCTTGAACCTACTCTTTAGTAATGGTTTACAACCCTGTCTTAAAATAATCAATGCTTTTGGCTACAAGTGTTAAATGAATTTCAGACTTTCATTGTGGTTAATGATGAATTATTTAATCTTGACTGGGATCAATATAGAGGAAAATAAGTGTTTGGATATTAAGATAGCAAATGTTTATGTCCCAAATCATCATTGGTTTATAACTGTAGGTTCCATTCTCTGCTGCTTCACTGACCATCTTTATCAAGATGCATCAAGAAAAAAATAATGGCAAAGCTCAATTGATATTAAGGCTATGTTAGAGTTTGTGTCCTTTTCCTTGAAGATTGGAATAAGTCCCACTTGCATTTTGCTGACAGACTTTCCTAACTTAGAGATTTTTCCTAACATACTCTTGTCTCCAATAACAGGCAAAATAATGATGAGTTTGTAGTTTGTTCCTGAGCCCTCCTTCTGTTAGAATTAAGCTTCTTTTGTCTTGTTGCTTAACAACTCTTTCAACCTTTTCTAATAGGTATGTTTTCTTTAGATCTCTGGTAATTCATGTTGCTGCAGCACTTCAGTTGGTCCACAGCCTTTTTGAATGGCAATTCCCAAAGCTGGATATGGTATTCAAAATGAGATCTTGTGTGCTGAGCAGAGTAAACCTCAATCTTGAATAAGTTTAGATATCCTCCATAGCAACAGACTGGAGATGTCCTCCTGAATTCTTAGTTCAAAAACTACTAAATGACGTTGATTCCTTTAAGTAGTTTCCGGCTAGGGAATAATTTACCTATGGGCAGCTGGTGCAGTGACTACTGGAATATTCACACCCTAGTTCTAGATGGCAGATCAACTTGTGAGATGGTGCAGATGGGAATGAACTTGAAGAGCCTACCCTGCAAAAGAAATTTAAGTGCTGAATTTTGGTTTTTAGTAAGCTCCTTAATAGCCAGTGCTCTTCTAACTTATGTTTATGTCTTAGAATCTGCAGAATCCTCTTGCAAATCTGTAGCTTCAAAATCCAATTTTTTAAAAAAATATGCTTGATAAAGGAACAATCACTTTACAAACGTGTTAAATTTTAAGCTTTTTAGTTTTTTAACGTGTAAAAAATCTTTTTACTTGCATTGATGCAATTTTTTTTTTCCCCCTGAACTTTAGGACAGCAGGATATCTAGTGTCTTTTGGAGGCTGTGTGGGCTATCTCCTTAATTTAACAGTTTCCATGAACTACAGGAGTCTCTAAGTGTGAGATTACAGTTCAGCTCTCATGAGAAACTGCTAATAGTGAGTTCCCTTTAATATAGACTGCCAGAGAGGTGCTGTTAAGTTGTATTGCGTTTGAAACTTGGAAGGCTTGTCATGGCCTATAATTTGGCAGACGACTAGCTGAATGCTTGTCTTGGTTAAATGTCTCTGTAGTCTGTTTACCAATCCCGTGACAGAGACCTGTTGTTTTGCCATGGTGCAATTTAGACTTGCATATTAGATTCCTAGGAAGAATTCCTTAACGCTGTAGGTTTGGTTTTGTTTTGGGTTGGGCTTTGGGGGGTTTTTTGTGGGTTTTTTTTTTTTTGAGTGGTCTTGGAAGAGTGGCTTCCAGTAGGTTTTGCCTTGTGAATCTGTCAAGATGCAGAGACACTTCCCTTGTATTTCTGCAAGGACTACTGAACTGTCAAACAAGGTCAGATCAGTAAAAATTCGTATGTAAGAGAATAGGAAAGGGAATATAGCAGCTCCTCTAGAGGAAAAACAAATATCTGCATCCTGGAGGGGTGAAGAGACTATCTGTGGAAAGCTGAACTCTATCATATCCTGAACACTGAGCTGATCTCTGGATTAGGTTACATGTCTTCTGTTGCTACTGTAAGAAAGATTAATCAAAGTAATTGCCAGAGTCTGTTTATAAGCTGATTAATTAGCTCCAAAGTCAGGTTTTGCTTTCCTTTAATGGTGAGTCTCAGAATGAGACTGTAAGTTAAAGTTAAATGCAGGTCCTGTGTTCCCCCTTGGACTTTCAAGTGGGTATTTAAAAAATAATTTAAAAACCCAAAACACCAAACAAACAAAAAACTACTCAAAAAACCTCCCTAAACAAACAAAGCAATAAACAGACAAAAAACCCAAAATCTGGAAAGAGAGGTCTCCAGTGAACAACTTGAAGTTTTTAGAACGGTTGTCATTCTTCCCTTGCTCTGTGTCCTAGCGTCCTGTGTTCTTCCTTGCACCCATCAGCAGCAAGGCAAGGGTGCTCAGAGCAAATCTGCGCAGTGCCCATCTCAAGAACAAGTCTGCCAGGGCAGGTGTTTCCCCTGATTCCTGAACTACTCCTGCGTTTCTAACTCGGTGCAGCGGGGTTGGCTTGGAGGGAAGCTTGTGGCAGTACAGCGTTACCACTTGTTTGCTTTGAGGATGGAGGAGAGGGAGAGGAAACTGCCTTAGATACAAAGTCACTGTGAAGGGCCTGTTCTCTGTCATCTGTCACAGCAGTTCATGCTAGTTTCCAGGTAAGTCATTTGACCTGGCAAACTTCTAGTTGTATAGCAGAGGTCTTGGCAGCACCTAACCCAGTGCTGCTGTTACGAAGCAAGCTGGCATCTTCACGTGTGAAGTAACTTTCCATTGGATTACATGTCTGCTGAAGGGATGCAGTGGTTGCCTTCCTCTTTCATGTTAGTCTGTAGGAGACTAATCTGTCCTTATGGCTTTTTGAAATGGTTGCTTGAAAAAGTCTGAAGACAGTGTACTTCCTGAGAAGACCACCTCCTGTTCCTTTGGGCACAAAGTTCTTGTGCTACCCTGTGTGTATTTCCTATTGCTTCTGGGTGTTGTGTGTGTGTGGGGAGGTTAGTGTATGCTGCTTTTTTGACAAGTAACCAATTCAGTTATGCAGCTCATTGCCTTTACTGAATGTGTGTATTTCCTTGCAGTTACCAGCGTCACCTTTTGTATTGCCCTGTGAGTGGGCTTGTTGGGAATGTCTGACCTCTGCTAAAAGTTAGTGTGTTGATGAGCAGTATTCTTATTTAAGCGTAGTCATGGTTCCTGATTGCAGTTACAGTTAAATACTCTTCAGATAAGGATTCCTCTTCCAAAAAATCAAGTGCTTAAAGAACCACCTTTTATCCATCATCTCATTTTATGCAAACATCTGTGCCACTATCTGTTTTTCTAGACTTGTAGAAAACTTCTTAGTAATCAGGAAGCCCTATTGCTTCTGGGGGGTGTGTGTGTGTGGGGAGGTTAGAGTAGTGTATGCTACTTTTTTGACCAGTAACCAAATTCAGTTATGCAGCTCATTGCCTTTACTGAGGGCTAAAAGTGATGTGTGTGAGTTCCTACTGTGGATTTTAAAGGTAAGCCTGATTCAGGGAGAAAACTTGTCTCGTCAAAACAGTTAAATGTGAGAGACTGAATGTCTTCAGAAACACGTTGGCATTGTGGGGGAGGAAGGAGGAACCTTGACAAACGTGTTCCTCCCTGTGATTACAGATCTCCGTGGAAGATGCACCTTCTATTTGGAATTGTTTTTAACTTTGAATTAAAGCAGAATTCTCATACTTGGGTATATAAGAATTTAATATTAGAAACTAAATGACTTGGAACTGATTTCCTGATGCCTTTTGTGGTTCAGGGTAAATTATTTGTCTGGCTTATTTAGGCTGTGAAGCCCTACTTTTACTGCTATAAGGTAGAGGAAAAGCTCTTAAGACTCAGAATACATTCTTTTTCGGAGGACTTTGTGAAGATGAAGTTTGGGGGTTTTTGTTTCTTTTTGGGGTTTTTTGGAGTTTTTTTGTTGTTTGTTTGTTTGTTTGTTTGTTTTAAATAAGGTGCTATTGGGTTATTTTCCCTGTTTTTGACCCCAGGTATTAAGAGGACTGTTCTTCATAGGTATATTTGCAATAGCTGTAATGCTTGTTCCAGTTGTTTAAATGTGTCTGATGAATCTGTGTTAGCCTGAAGATACTTGATAAGATTTTATGTATATAAACTACTCCTTTAATCTCAGGACCTGTTCTTCAGTCCATCTGATGCACTTTGAGAAAACACTTATATAGCAGTGGCTGTTGCAACTGTTTTTAATGAGCCTGTGTTGCTTATAGCTGAAAAATAGCTCTGTAATGCATATTTGCTATTTGTTCAAATTATTTGACTGTCCAGTGATTCAGCACTTTCCCTTTATAGTTTTTTAGCAAGATTTTCAGATCGATAGTCATTAGAGAAGAATAAGATTATGAAAGGATGTTGAATCTAATCATGAAGCTTTTAATGGTGGCTGGTGGTATGATAGATGCCCTGTTCAGTCAAAAATAAAATGCAGGCAGCCTTTTCTAGCGTGCAGGTTTCTTGTCCACTCTTACACTGACCACATGCTGCTGGATGACAGAAAAGTTCCTGTATAGGAATTTGAGAGTTAAAGAAAAGGGATAGACTTCTGTCTTGTCTGGCCATAAAATGTTTTACACAGACTAGTACAGGCAAGTATGAATTGTAGCCTATACATAGCAATACCACTTTTAATATTAAAACAGAGATATACTTTGAGTTCTTAGTAATTGGGAGAACTTTTCAATGCTTAATTAAAACCAACTTTTTTGTTTAGTTCAGTATTCCTTTAAGAGGAAAGACTTTTATGGTAGAGGCAAGATGTTAAGATAACAAAATACATTGCAGAGCCCACTACTTTTGTACTTTTCCTTTTCTTTAATGTTGGAGTGACTGAAAATTGTCATTTGAGTCTTTTTACATGCTGAGGGGGAGGTGCAGCTTTGCTAAGGGATGCACAGGATATCTCTATGCTGTCAATAACTTCCTAGGTGAGAAACAGTCACTCCTTTGGCTTTGTTTTCTAAACTGATTAGGTTAATGAGTTCTAGAAAGCAAGTAGATGAAGCACATTTTCTGAAAATGATAGTATTGTTTTCTACCAGCTTGGCATATTATATTATTAATAATCTGAAGTTTATACTTTATCTCATTACTGTTACAGCCTTTTGCTGTGTGCAAGCTTGGTTGGTTCTTCATTTCTTTTAGTGTGCATTTTAAATAATCTTTATTATTTAAAGAAAATGCTCACTGAGCTGGCAATATTATAGCTGTTTCATAAATGGGTATGAAATTCATGTATACAAGTGGAACCTCTGTATATTTTTCTTATCCTTAAATAGTGCGCAGAGTTTCAGCTGCAGCTTGCAGTCATCTAGAAAAACTTGCAGTAGGATGTTACCAGATTTGAATAGTGAAAACATCTGAAAACTCTTATCACTGGGATTATTCAGCCTACCCTTACTGTCCTTTGCTTATTCTTAACATTTACTGAAGCCATTTAATTGCACTGACTATAATTGTGTCTCATCTCCTAATACTGAAGCTTCTACACCAAGATTAAAATGGATATTCATAAAAATGAAAATACTTTGTGTTGGCAGTTCCATGATTTTATATCCTAGAATCCTCTTATCCCACGTGGCAGCTAATATGTCGTGCATATTTGGTCTCAGTTAACAGAGCCTGGCAGCAGCAGTGCTGCTGCTTTCTGTGAGGGCAAGGCAGGATGCTTATAGGCTGTATTGCAACAGTGATCGTAATTATCAGTAGTTCCACTGGGGATAAGGACAAGCAGGATACAGAGTTGAGAATGGCCCCTTGACAGTCCTGGGTTCACTTGTATATTTCTTCTCAACATGTCCAGTACTAGCAGCACAAAGTGTTCTATGAAATGCATATTAAAAGATATTTAACCTTCACTGTAGAGAGAATGATAAAATGGAAAAAAAGCTAGTTTATGTATATAATGCAAGCCTACCAGAGCATTTACTATTGCTTTGTAATTTTGCAGCAAATTGAGTATATGTTTTGTTTTATTTTTGAAATTAAGCTTGCACCAGAGAACTTTAATGTCTTATCTACTAGGTTATGCAGATTTTGCAATATTACATGAACAAAAAGGAGGCAAAAAGAGCCTCAGATCAAGATAAAGCTGCTGGTTGTCAACGTGTGGGTGTGGTACGTTTGGCTGCCTTGAAAAATAAGCTATTTCCTACGGATTATGTTCCAGGGTTTTTTAATATTTCCTTTGGGACACTTTTTAAAATTGGCCTTCCTGTAATGAACTTTGCAAGGCAAAGGAAAATTCAGTTATACAGTAGATCTTTATCATCTTAACATTTTCTTTACTAGGTTTTATCTTAACCAGTTGAATACTTTTGAATGTCTATGCTCTTGTGTGCTGTCAAACTTATTGCCTGTTGAATTTACCTTTTTTTAAAAAGGTGAAGACTTGTTGATAGAACGAGTGGCACATGCTGGCATGATCAACCCCGAAGATCGATGGAAGACACTACAGTTTAATGGTCCTGTTGCCCATTTTGAAGTACAAATAAGAGTGAAGTGTGATGAAAATTACTACAGTGCTCTGTGCAATAAGTTTTGTGGCCCTCGAGATGATTTTGTTGGTCACTACACATGTGATCAAAATGGAAACAAAGCCTGCATGGAAGGTTGGATGGGAGAAGAATGTAAACAAGGTATTATTGTTTGCTTAATTTTAGATTAGCTCTGATGTGTATATGTAGTAGGTATCAACTGCAGTAGGTATAGCTGTAGTGTCAGTACTGTAGCATATTAAATTTTAACACGGATAGACTGTCCTTTGAATACACATCTTTGAAAAAAACATACTCTGTAAAGAGTGGAGCCCAGGGCAGGATACAGTGTTGCTTCTGGTGTGTGCTGTGGGGGCTACACAACAAATTCAGGATTCAAAATAGTGACACTAGACTTTCTTCAATGGTAGTGTTACTTCAAAGCAAATGATGTATTACATCTGTTAATGTAAGATTTTATTGAGCAGTGATATCAGTAATGCTGTAGACTCTAATCCTGTAAAAATGCCCTTGTAACACTATTTTTGCAAATGAAAATGTTCTGAGTGTAATGTATGCAAAACTGAAAGCTTTTTGATAGCTCTTAATGTGAACAGAAATTCAAGTGTAGTCATCCTTTTTAATGTACCACTCAATCAAATCTCTTTGCATTTTGCCTTCAGTCTCAGTGAGTAATTAGTGCTAAAATCACTTGACATACTTTTCTTTCTGTTGAGGGCTTCTTGGTTTTGTTTTCTGTTCCTTTTCAGCAAAAAGCCTGTTAATGAGAAGGGAGACAATTTTTAGGACTTACTCAAGGTCATGTGTATCTTTTGAATCTTGGGATTTCCAATGTAATACTGGTCTAATAACAATTTTAAAAAATAACTGTATTTGATAAATGATTCAGTGCTTGACACTCTTGCTGCAAACCTATTTGGTAGGAACTTTTTCAAGGAGTTGCCTTAAGTTATTTTTTCATAAACTGTTGTAATGGGGTTGTGTTTTATGAAATAAGTAGCTGGAAGCAACAACTATAGGAACATAGTAAAATACAGTCTGCTTTGCACAAGTAGCAGATAGGATAAATGATAGAAAGCCCCAGCTGAACACTTCCAGATTGCTGCTGTACGGGTGGATACCTAGCTGCCCAGACTGATGCCTCATCCTTTTTGTATTTACAGCTGTATGTAAACAAGGATGTAATTTGCTCCATGGGGGTTGCAGTACACCTGGGGAATGCAAGTAAGTCTGCATGCTTGAGTATCTTTTTTAATGAGTACTGATCTTTCTAGTATTTTCTATGTGTTCTACTTTTAAAAAGTCTACTTTAAAACAGAAAAAAATTCTGTACAAAAACATGGATGGAAATAGATCTGAAGTAGATTTCACATGTGTAAGAACTGCATATACTTCATAATGTTTTGCAGTCCTATTTTATTTTTTGCACGTGTAGGACTGAACAGATTTGCTTCGTGTAATCCAAAACTATAGCTTTATCAAATGAGAACTTTTTTTTTCAAAATCCTTAGGAGCTTTCATCTCTGTGTACTATCTGTTCCCCTCAAATAAAAACGGCAACTTGCTTGTTGAACTGTTAGAACTAAGAAATGCTTGCAGGGCTAGAACACTCAGTATGTATATTTAATAATCAAAATATAGTAAATTGAGCTTTTCCAATAAAAACAGATACACAGAGATACTTTTTTTTGGTAGTAATGGCGATAACAGTAGCAACCCTAACCTAAACCTCCTACCCTAAGTGAATGTTTTCTGGTCCCTAAATCTGGGAGAACAGAGTCTGAGATGTGATGAAGCCTAAGTAGCCTCTGTGGTAGCGAGAGGAGTTGGTTGTTTCCTTTTAAAAGTTCAAGCATCCAACACAGTAGGTCAAGGGGAAATGGGTGTTATTTTTACACTGGCTGTTGAAGAAATGAGGCAGGTCTACTTGCAAGTTTGGGATCCTGTTGTAAGTTCTTGAGTTTATTTATGGTCAAAGTTGTATGCAACATTGTAAGAGTGGATTTGTGCAGTGATGCCTTTGTAAGCTGTACTGAATCTGCTTGCTTGGAATGATGTGAAACTGAACTGCCTGCCAAAACCCCTGAGAGCTGACAAATACCGTTTGTGGCAAGCTGTGATAGTTTAAGGCAATCTGCTCCATCCTCCTACTAATGTCTACTACAACTATCACAGAAGTGGCAGAAATAAGATGCAGGTTGCTTAGTTTTGCAGGGCTTATAGCTAAGCTGGGGTTGAAGTGCCAGTTTGTGAGCTGTGGCAGCTGACACGAAAACAAATTGCATCCTGCTGGAGAGCCTGAAGTTTTTGTCAGGGAGGTATGGCAGAGAACAAAGTCAGTCCTAAATCATTGCACCACAGAGTGGTTTCTTGGCACCCTGAAACTTCCATCAGATGCTGCTGCCTTGTAGAAGGCTTGATGTGTTGTAGCTCTCAAATCTGAATGAAAACTGTAAACTCCAGTATATGAAGTGCAGTGTTTCAGTGCACGTGCAGTTTCACTTCTGAAGGTCTATAAAACCTCCCTTAAAATATTTTTTTTTTCAAGGCAGATGTTTAAACTGTGGCTTCCTTTTTGTAAGAAGGAATATTTCTATTTAATGTTATTTAGGATCTTTTAATATTATGAAATATTTTCCTTGTGATCTCAAGTATTGTGTGCCCCTACTGCTGTTGGTGATTTTTTTATATTACAAGTAGAGATTGTGGTTGAGAGCTGGGCCAGTATCACTTCTGCCTGAGTAAGAAGTACTCCTTCCCTTCAGCCTTCCAAGAACACATTTTCCCCTTGAGAACCTACTGTAATGAATTTTTATTCATGTAAGGCTTTCTGGATTCCTGTATGTATCAAAGGGGAGTGTCCTAGGAGCCTGTGGATGCTTGCTTTTTGAATGCAAGGAGCCTTTGAATAAAGGTGAAAAAGCAACAGGCTTAAGCAAATGCACAACAATACCCTTTTTGGAGGGTGTGAGGAGGGGTGGTGCAGTTTCCTTTTTAGTTTTCATTTCTCTGTGATACCAGCTGTATCTGGGAAGACAGAAGTTGGAGAGGAGGAAGGGGATACAAAACCTTTGAAGATGGGTGTCTGTGGTACCTTTTTTTGAGGTGTCTGTCAATAGGTGGTCTCATATGTGCAAAACACTATGTCACTGATGCGAAGAAGCATCTAATGTTGTAAGTCTAGGTGCCCTGTCCTAACCTACCCAGCTAAATAAAGCCTCACAAAAATAACATTGAGTCTATTGAAGGACTCTGACAAGAAATCTCACTGTTTTGTAGAGGGATTCTCCCATCTGAAAGAAAGTACTGAGGGAATGAATAAGGGACATAATATTTCAGATGGGTTGTATGCTATTTGCCTTGTTTCTTAATGCCTGTCTGCTGAAGTGATAGACCTGTGATCAACAGGCTGAAGGAAAACAATGGCCTCTTTATGTATGGGTGCTCTATTTCCAGTATTGCAGGAGGTTCTTGGCTGCCTCTTTAAGTGTAATTTGGTGGGTTGAGCGTGTTCACACAGACATCTTTAGCTTGTATTCTGTAATAGTTATTAGGCTACATTAGAAATGTTGCTTTTAACCCAAATGGATAATACTTTCTGTAGAAAAATGATGCTGAACTAAAAATAAACAAGGCTTACAGACATGACCTTTATCTTCAGTACAAAGGAAGCTGTTATTTAAAAGAAACTGCTATGTTTGGTGCTATTGAATTATAATCTAGATTCCTTCATCCTGCTTTTTGGACAGTTGCCACTGTGGTTTAACAGGTGAAAACAATGTCCTTTCTTAATTCAGAAAGAAAATGAAAATGTGAGAAAAACATGGGTGTGAGATGTATGGAAATCTGCTGGTGCCAATAGCTACTTGGTTGCCAAAATCTGCAGTGGCATTTATAAATAGAAAAGTTGGAAAACGGTTTCCATCTTCAACTTGTATGAACATGCAGGTAACTTAAGCAATGGCTCTAAGGCTTCAGTCTAACTCTCATAGCGAGGATCTACCGTCCTTGCTTTGATGTTCCAATGTAATTTAGAGCTGTTCTTGGATTAAATGTTATGCTAAAAACAGATCTTAAAAATAGCTAAATGACTGCAGACTGTTAATAAAGGATATGCCATTAAGGGTAACTGTCCATGCTCTCTTGGGCACGGTTATGTACCCCTTGTTTTGAGGAAGCTAGTGTTGTGAAGTTTGCCATTTCTTTTGCTGAGCTTTCATCGAAGAAATGGAAAATAAGTAGGGGATGAGCTGATGTCTCAAAATGACCTGATGTGGGAACCAATTTTGTGCTATGGCTGGGTCTATGTGATAGGTTGCTGTAATTGCGGAGGCAGTTCAGAAAAAGTGGCCAAGCCCAAAATGGCAGGAAGGATTAGCAAAGAAGCAGTACTGCCAAGCCATGGTGATTGGTGCTTTTTGTGTGTTTGCATCATTTGTGCAGTACTTTGTTAAATTCCATTAAACTGTCTAGAGAAGAATGAAGTTTGATCTAATGACTTATAACTGGTTTAGGCTCAGTCGCCTTACGATGTTACCAAAATGAATATAGAGAAACCAGAAGTGACAGTCTCCTTCCTTGATTGAAACTGCTGACTTGAGGATATTTGGTACCACTCATAGACTGTCAGTAGGCTTAACAGCTTAATCTTTCACTTCCTTGTGATCCAGAGTGATATGGGTTCAGAAGTCCGGATATGGCTCGTATCTGGCTATATTGCCGTATTCCTGACAGCATGATGGTATTATGGTCTTTCTACTTTTTCTGGTGCCTTTGAACACTTCAATTTCTCTTCCAAAGCAAAACCAAAGGGGTCGAATCCCTAACACTGCTCAGCTTGTGTTCAGCTTCTGGAGCTATGATGGAACTTAGGTTATGTCCTCGGAAATGCAAGTCTTACTTCACACAACTGTGATACAAAAATTTCTTTAGAATCTGTACACTAACTGAAATGAATTAGAAATGGAATTGTTAATAGCACTTTTATGTGAATTTGTGCAAGGTGAACAAAGCAAGCATACAGTTTTTAAAACTTTTAATTGTCTAACCTCTGTGCTTTGAATTGGTTTTGAACTACATGTGGAAAAAAAAATTGGTTTTACAATGTTTGTTTTTATTTAATCACATCTTATGTTTGTCCTGCT